CTCTCTCTCTCTCTCTCTCTCTCTCTCTCTCTCTTTCGTTTTCTGTTTCCGGATGACTAGTGTCGGTAAATGCCACGTCGTGTTCCACTCAACGTATATCCATACAGGTTTTATACAGGTCTTCCGCGTATCCATGTTCGACTTTTTCTTTTTCACGGTCTGTCCCCAACTATACACATCCCCTTCTTTTACGCCGACTCACCCCTTTCATTCTTTCTCTCTGTCTGCTCGGCAAACCCGGCACGATTCACGTCGGTCCGCTGAGCGAAATGATAAATCTACGGACGATGAGCGAAGTGTTTGCTCGCCTTCGCACTTACGGATCGACTTTTATCTCGAAGACCGCGGGTCAGGCCTTACGTTAGTAAGAAGCAGACAACCAGTAGCAAAGTGGCAGCAAAAGGAAAATTTATATTGGCGTCGAGGACAATGTCTCTACGGATATATATCTATCCGTTACGCAGGGATATCCGATCGGTAAACTTTGGAAAAAATATTATACAAACGCACATTTCCCATTAACTTTCAGCAGTTATATAATATTGTACATTCTGTTTTCTTTTGTTTTCATGCTTTTAATAAATATTCCTTGTAGAAGGGAGGAGGAGGGCAATTCACGAAAAAAAAATTATGGACATCTATGAGAATGTTTTTTTTATAAATATTTTATAAAAAAGAGCATTCATATAATAATTTAAAAAATCGAAATTTGCTTATAAACACATACACAAGAGATTTGCCAATTCTCATATTCTTTTCGATTTTTTGTAACCATATGCATGTGACAAGAAGAAATTAACTGACGTCAACAAAGTTTGGAAAGATTAAGAACTACTGCGTTTTATAAAGTTTCAAGAGAATATTGTAAGAGCGTAAAGAGAAGGAACGCTCATCTCAACTTATTGAAGCACGTAGAAAGAAACTCCCGCTTAAAACGTTGTTTTGAGCAAACTTTCAAATCTTTAGGAAGAATGTTTGATAATTTTGAACTTTTGCGCAAAACTTGATATATATAGATTTTTCCATAGATGATTGGCTCCGCTTGTGAAACTTTTAGATGATCTGACAAAGATTTTGCATCCTCCGGTAAAATAGTGGGGGCTGAAGGAGTCAACGAGCGGTTGGTGCTCGTATGTGACGTGAAATTTATGGTCTGGTAATTTAGGGAGAATTTAAAACATTCTGCTGGAATAAAACTGCGGGAAACACCTGCGCGCCATCCACGCGAGAAGCCTATCTCGCGCTTTTCGGATTACAAGACAAAAGAGTGAGCGTTGCCGGAACGTTAATGAGATATACACGGGCGAAAATTTGTGAATTTAAATCAACTTTTTTCGTCGGATAAAGTGTGTTTGTATGTGTATATGTTGCAGAAACTTATTACTATCGGACCGCGTACTTACTTATCGTGCCAGATGTATTGCGCTCTTCGATGAAGGAGCTGAGGGGAGAGATAGGAACGGACGGGGATTTTTAAAGAAAGGACGGATAAATCGTACCGTCCACTAAGTACCTATCCGCAATAAGAGAACACCCCTCTCTTCCCACATAAGCCGGCTGGCACTCCGAGACCTCTTATCTTGCGCGCGAGCGCGAAATCCTATGTGACGATACAAAAGACGGGAAAAATTTTTGATATAAAAATAAAAAGTCAACTGTGACGTATATGTATGTGTGCGTGTGTGTGTGTGTGTGTGTGTGTGTAAATAGAAGATTTTCATCTCGTAGGGCGGGACGCGCGCTGTCGTACCGGTGGAATTAAAGCGAGGGTAGATCGAACGATAAAAGGAGGACGATGGGAATTGTTCCGCATTTGCCTGTCCGTGACCAGCTCTTTTCTCATCTACGCGAACCTCAATCCATCCTCAACATGGCATTTCTCTCCAAGAAATTTACAAAAGCATATCGATTAGTTTGCGTATAACTGGAATTTCCGACCTTAAATGTCAGGATAATAAAAGCTTTGCTTCACTCTTTGATATTTTACATTTTAGAAAAATAAGATATAAAATTCCCGTTTCTTCATACATCGTTATATTATTATTTCTGATTACTTTCAATTTGGAACTTTAAATAAATTTTATAATATTTGAGAAGACTTAAATAACACTACAATATTATATACTGATTAAGAGTGGGAATTAAAACAATTTGTACAAATTTCAATTTTTTTTGGCATACCATTTCTATATTTCATCTGAAAAAAATATCAAATGGTACCATCTCGCGAAGAGAAAATGTATGAATGGATTAAGCTCGGTTTACGGCACGCACAAAATCTTCGCTGAAGCGTGTGTCCCGCGATAAAATCCGTCTGGTTAGCTCGTATGTGCGCGCCGTTCCCGATTCGATTTCATCCCCAACATTCGGTGAAAGAATTAAAGAGACGATAGAAAAGTCTCGCGAGAAATGGCGGAAGAGTCGCGCACGTTCTGTGAACGTTTATACGTCAGCAATAAGACGATCCAGCCTCTCGCTTTCTCGCCGTTTCTTTCGCTTCCACACCCCTGCGACTTCGATTTATCGCAAATACGCGCGCGCGGAAAACCTCTGTCTAGCACAAAGGGTGGCGCGGAAAAAAATAGTTCAAAGACGGTTAAAAAAAGATTGGTAGAAATTTCTCGTCGATCCGCGGCAGGATTAAAGAATGGATAGATAAATCTCGTGAGAAATAGCGGATAAATCGCGCTCGTCCACTAAGCACACACACCTATCCTCAATAAGATCTTGTCCCTTCCTGTTCTTTTTCCTGCCTTCTCTCTTTCTTTTTATTCGCGTTCCAAAACTCGATTTATCTCACGCGCGTGAAATTCTTTCTGCGATATGAAGCGCACGAGAAAATTCTCAAAGACGTATGAGTAAAGACAGCTCCGCTCGAGCGAACGAATTTCCCACCTTGAACTTTCTGCTTCGGTTGGGAAGTTTGCCGGCGAGACAATGGAAAGAAACTGTACATATAAAGTTCACAACGAAATGGTAAAGTGATATAAATGAAGTAATGCAAATGCTAGAGAGGTTTATGACGGCGTGAGTTTCGCAGGCTGCAACATGTTTCGTTTATTCTGTTTAATGATTACGTATGGTATAATATAAAGGTGTGTCTTTTTTTTACACGCGACGTTATTATGCATAATGATGATAATAGTTGTTGCATTATTTTGATGTATAGTTTATTCAATTTTATATTTATAGTGATATAATGCGTACTAGAATTTTATTTTTATGCATCGCATGCGTGTTGTACGATCATTGAATCATGAATTTTATTATAATTTTTGCTTCTCTTTCTCTTTCTCTTTTCCTCTATCGAATCTATCCAATACTGATATAAATTGATCTATTGAAATAATATAACATATTGTTAGACAATTAATATTATGGTAAACATGTTAACGTACCAACATTTGGAAACAAAGTTCGATTATAGGATAAACTGGTATGAAAAATTAATACAACAATGCAACCATTGGAAATTGAATCTTGCACAATTTTCCACTTTGCTAAGCAATAACATAATTAATTTGATTATCAAAAAACCGATAGCAAGAGAAAGCATCTTTTTATATATACGAGTTTTATTTTTTATCCTAAATCTCATTGGTTGATTTTCTAAAGCTTTGGTACATTTATAAGACGTTACAGACACATATAAGTACATCGGAAATGGATTGAGAATTGAATCCTACTTTAACATGATTGCACCTACCTTCGAAAATACATCGATTTACCAAATAAAATATGAAAAAAAAAAGAGAATACATAGTAAGAGATATTACATATATAGGACAGCGACATAACCGAACTGAGCGAAATATCGACCAACTAACTATATCGGCTGATTCCCAACGACCCAACCTGAATTTTCAACTTTTCGCGATAGCAGAGCCGCGAAAGGAAAATTTTATAAAGAAAATCGAAGAGATGAAGAGAGACCGGGGCGAGAGGAAGAGAAAAAAAACGTATTGTCACCTTCTTGCGCGTCTTTTTCGTCGACGAGCGTGTCGGCGGGTAACGTACCATTCGTAATAAACGATAAAGGGAAATAAAAGTGGCTTTATCCAACAAGGAAGGGAAACCGATGCAACCAGAGAGGAAAGAAGGACAGACGTGTGCGCGACTTCGTCGGTTGGGAGCAGGAGAGGAGGGAGAGAGAAAGGGAGAGACGGAGCGGAGCGCGTCGGCGTGTGTACCAGTCCGTTTCCAGCGACACGATGTGCTTCCCTATGCTTTTTGTTTTAATTTCCTAGAGGCCACCGGCTCCCCGTTTCGCTCCCCTACTCTTCCCTTCTCACATCCCTTTTTTTTCCTCTCTTTGCTCTCCCCTTATCCTCCGTCACTGCTCGCCGTCTCCCTCGTGGGAGCTCCGCGAAATGTACCACGGTGGTTTTCAGCACTGTGGATGCTGTTAGGTATATATCCTCATCCTCCCTCTCCTACTTCCCTCCCGGCTCTTCTCCGTCGGCTTTCCTCCATCCTCCCACGCCGTCCCCACCGCGCCCTGTCTCTCGCTTTCTCTCTCTCTCTCTCTCTCTTTCCTCTTCTCTCTTTCCTTTCCCTCCTACCCGTTTATCCCTTCTCCGCGACGGGTTCTCTCATGCCGCCACCCCTCCGCCACGGAGTAAAGGGCTGAACCGGCCAGTGCAATTCCCGACGAGATCGGCGTCGAATCCGCGCTCCTGGTCGGCGATCACACGTCAATTTTTGACGCTTCTCGTGCACGTCACCGACGTGTTTTTTATCTCGACGTATCGAAGAATTGCCTTCTCAAAGCGAGTTATCAATGTTTTAATTAAATCGACGATGTGACAATCTCTCTGAAATATTATCGGGACGTGTCGAGGACTTTTAGAATCGAAAAGGGTGGGTGGGGATTAACAAAGAAGTGCTCTTTCCTCTTCTCTCTTTCCTTTCCCTCCTACCCGTTTATCCCTTCTCCGCGACGGGTTCTCTCATGCCGCCACCCCTCCGCCACGGAGTAAAGGGCTGAACCGGCCAGTGCAATTCCCGACGAGATCGGCGTCGAATCCGCGCTCCTGGTCGGCGATCACACGTCAATTTTTGACGCTTCTCGTGCACGTCACCGACGTGTTTTTTATCTCGACGTATCGAAGAATTGCCTTCTCAAAGCGAGTTATCAATGTTTTAATTAAATCGACGATGTGACAATCTCTCTGAAATATTATCGGGACGTGTCGAGGACTTTTAGAATCGAAAAGGGTGGGTGGGGATTAACAAAGAAGTGAAAAACCGATATGGACGGAGAGTGATACGTGGCGGGGTGGACACGACGCAGGATTATATCTGGGAACACGGAATATAAATTCACGGAATTTCGGAAGAGATTAATCGCAGCGATGTCAACACCGTGCGACGTTCGCTATGGCGCGTGGAACCGCGATCCAGCGATCCGATCCAGTGATATCGTGCCGCGACACGTAAGTCTCTTTCCACGCGACGCACGCGTCACGGCGGATCCTCGGAGGAGGATTCTGCGAGAATTCGGTGGTTTCCGTTGCGGTCTCGTATTGATCGGATCCACGTCGTGGATCGTAGATGACGGACTAGATCCTGTGATGCGAGTGGTTTCCTCCACCCTTTCCCTTCACCGTAGCTTCAAGTTATTTTCGGCGCCCGTTTGATGGACGGGTTATCCTACGCACGGGTATTGTTATCTCGAATAGACAGCACATTCCGAGATTTTCCGCGATGAAATTTTTACAGCGCAATTCCATTCTCGACGTTCTCGCTAATTGAACACGCCCGCTGATCGACCGATCGGCCGAATCCGCTTAACTCGCGAATCCGGGATTTAGTCCTTTCTTTTTTTTTTTTATGCGAAGTCCTTATGATTGTCATTCGCTAGCACGGAAGCGCCCGCCTCCGGCGATTAATTAAAATAATCCCTTGGCGCGCCCACCGCGCGTAAATTATTATACGGTAATGCCAGGCGTGTCCGAGAAGTTCTAGGACTGAATGAATGAAACGAGGAATCAGAGCGAACAGGGAACGTAGATTGATATTGGCACGAATGTCAATCAATTGTTTCCAGATCAATTTTTATCGTATTTACATTATATTCGACCAATTGTTAAACAATAACTATCACTAATTTGTTAAATCGATCTCTAGACGGATATAAAATCATGTTATTTAATTTCAATTCAACGTTATTTAATTTCCATGCTGCGTTATATTGAATGCTATTGTGCAAGTGACGTCACTGTGACATCGCTTTTCGCGAAAAAGCCGATTTAGTCCTTTCTTTTTTTTTTTATGCGAAGTCCTTATGATTGTCATTCGCTAGCACGGATGCGCCCGCCTCCGGCGATTAATTAAAATAATCCCTTGGCGCGCCCACCGCGCGTAAATTATTATACGGTAATGCCAGGCGTGTCCGAGAAGTTCTAGGACTGAATGAATGAAACGAGGAATCAGAGCGAACAGGGAACGTAGATTGATATTGGCACGAATGTCAATCAATTGTTTCCAGATCAATTTTTATCGTATTTACATTATATTCGACCAATTGTTAAACAATAACTATCACTAATTTGTTAAATCGATCTCTAGACGGATATAAAATCATGTTATTTAATTTCAATTCAACGTTATTTAATTTCCATGCTGCGTTATATTGAATGCTATTGTGCAAGTGACGTCACTGTGACATCGCTTTTCGCGAAAAAGCCTTTGTTTGAGAGTGTTCTTTATACTCGAACAAGCTTTGACTTTTTTGGATATTGTCTTATGGTTGCTGCTGAAATCAACATCAAAAAGGAATATACCTTAGCATATTAAAGTTATTATAAGCTACAAAATACGCAAAAGGATTTATAATGCATTATTAAAAATTATCGAAACAAATGTGAAATATAATTAAAAATAACAATAACACAAATATAAAAAATTGTTCATAAAAATATGATAAAAAGGGTATTAAAAACTATATTTAATTTACTAAATTGCTTTTTTAAATCTTTATTATGACTAATAAAATATTATGTACGTTTTTGAAACATAAATTACTTGAAACAATAATTAAAATAATAATACGAATTTTTTTTAATCTAAATTTTATCATTATGGATATTAAATGCAGATTTTTTATTAATTGCAAATTAGTAAAATAATAATTGTAATAACTAAATAAATTGTTATATAACTATATAGAGTAAAAAAGAATAAAAAAGTGTTATTGCAAAATATTTATAAAAATTGCTTGAGATCTTACCATTGCATTTGTAGCAATCAATAACTGCGCGTTACATTCTTTCGATGAAAGATTTTCGATGTTCCATCCAGAAGTCCTGAAACTTTTATTGGACACATCTTGCAATCCGTCTGACATAGACGTCCGTCGTTACAATACGTTGCATTTCTAACGGACGCCAGGACCGTTGCTAGATTGTATTAATTGGATCTCGGGATAGACGAGACCTTTCTGATTTACATGAGGGGATAGTTTGATTTCTTTCAGCGACATTTTATTTCACTTTTTTGCAGTACATTGAAATATGTATGATAGAATTGGATCGAATACTTTGACATTTATATTCGACCTAAAGTATTTGATATTGAACGTATTCAGGTACTTCAGAAATAACTTGGAATTTGTTATCAAGTAATCCCTATAAGAGTATATCGCTGTTTTATGTACTATTTAAATTAGAAAAAGCCATGTCTCTCTCTTATTATTATTTTATATCTTATATATATATATGAACGATAAATAAATTTGTATATAAATTACAATTGCTTTGTCATCACATTATTACATCTAGGAAACATTTTTTATACGTTATTTATACATGTATCTATCGCATATATTTTAATATTCACTATTCTTTCTATATTGCTGACTCTAATCGATATTCCTGGGATTCTTTGCTCAATTTTGTATTAATTTTTGTAATAATAACAGAATTTTAATTTAATGTTTAAATGTCAATATGTTTAATGAAAAAAATGAATTAAAAAGTTGTGAAAAAATAGTATTTGATCAAATTTCGAATTTAAACAATCAATTAGTCAAGGAATATGTATCTAAAAATCGATAAAACTATATGTAATACAAATGCAAAAAATATATGTGCAATGAATACGCGAATTTTTTGCCGCAAAAAATTTGATTTTTAATATCACACATTCGTATCATCATATGGATTGCGTCGCGAATCCGTTTGCTCTTGTTGTAATGAGTTGCAGCTGATCTTTCGGGCGTATTAATTGAATCTCGTCGCGAATTCGAATCAGCCTAGTTATCTATAATTCAGGTACTTGGAAGCCGCGGAAAATATTCCGTTCGTTTCTCCGATTTCTGCTTGTTATATCGTTCACGTGAGCATTTAATTGCGTACGTTTGTCTTCGCAACATCGCTACAGACACGAAATTCAGCCGTTCGCTGAGGTGTACTAACAAGATTTTGTCGTAGATCAGGATAGACTGGATCGCATTAATTCACGTAAAGCCCGTAAGCTGTGAAAGACGCTGCCGCATTTTCCGCCTTCTCCGCGTTCAAATTTTTGCAAAGATTTATGAGAGATGTCTGTTAGATAGATTTGTTATGTGTTGAACAGTGCAATTATGTTCTTTAAAATAATTTTGTTTTTTAAATATATATTATATTTCTTTTATTTATTATATATTTTTTTCTATATATAATTGTATAGTTGAAGCTCTTTCTCTCTCTCTCTTTCTCTAAATAAATAAACTTAATAATTTTTTAACCATTGAAGTTAATAAATTTTATAAATTTTTATATTTTATATATAAAACGTTGAGAATTTTTGATTTTTTATATTAATACCTTCAATAAGAATTTTAGAATTATCAAAATATCAGGAAATTTAATTGTTTATGATTATTCTATATTTGGACTCTATTTAATGGGGCTACCAGTGTTTCTCAGAATCAGATTATTCATTACATTTCTATCCTTTTAGCGTATAGAGAGAATATTTAATGCTAAAATTGGAATGTTACATGTTTGCATGAATTACAAACAAATTTCACACAAGATTGCTATTTGTATGATAAATGCATATGGAAAACTGCGGTAACGTAATATGCTTAATCATTCATTCATTCATCTGTGGCCGCTAATTAAATTGTTATTTTAAGTAATGCTTTTTAAGCTTAGGATCTCTAGAAAATAACAAACGATTCGTTTTACGTAACAAGCATATTTCCGACTCTTGGAAAATCCTTTGCCATAACGCGCTCTCGCCAAATTTCGTTCTAGAAATATGACCGTCGCGCGCCCATAACACGGTACTGCACACACTCTACTCCGACGAATTATTTTCTAACCCCCATAAAAGTTGCACGTAAGTCCTCCCTGGGGTTGCGTAAGTTTTTCCACGTTACCGGGTCATGTCGTCATACTCACCTCTGTGTTGGGTCTTTAATAATTACTTTGATTGGATTTGAACTGATCCTCACGACGTGCAGCATCCTATATTTGAATGCGCACGTTAATAATTCCGGCGAATCGAGATAAAACTGACACCTCCTTTTATTTTCTGCGCCTTATTCTACCGCACGTGTGCCCATTCCGTATGCACGACTATGTGCGGATTATTCCGTTCTCACGTATGTAGGACATACAGGAACTCTCTATACATAGTTGGCTCCTTTTTAATTGAATTTCTTGTACAGCTAGCTCTGCCTTTTTCTTAAGTAATATTAAATAGCTTTGGATTTGTATTCTTACAAGAAACCTATTTTTGACATATATAAGACGTACTTTGATTTTTAATTAATCTGACGTTGCTTTTGAATATTCTTTGACGATGTACGTATAGTATAAATAGCTGTCTCTCTCTTTCTTACATCAATTTATACTCAATACATCTATTTCACTTTTTAAAGCATCTTATATTTTGGCTTTAATGAAAATTTTAATTGCGATTTGTTATAAATACTGTAAGTATCTTTACTTTAAAAAATTTTTAAATACTTTCATAAATAATGTTTCGTATCTTTAGTTATATATGTTAAAATGATCACTAATAATGCAAAGGATATGTTTTCATAATTAAATTAATCATTATTAAAATAATCTTGCCCACATACGAGGCGCTAATTCTTATCTCTTATTAGCATTCATATATGCATAAAGTTTGCACATATATATTATATATTTTCTCCTTTTTGAAAAATGTATATAGCAGAGAAAAAAAGTTTGCGATTCAGATATTGGGCATTCTCCTATTTCCTTTAAAAATCCACTTGATATAAAAAAAAAACCGACCCAAGAGTAGATTTAATCCGAGTTATAAATTTCCGGCCGTGGAGGGCATCCAAGTTATCTTGAGTAATCAGGTACGGGGTTAATGAAGGAGGTAATTTCGGAGCGTAATTTGCGAGCTACGAAATGTTGTAGATGATTCAGTTGGTGGAAGAAGTAAGGTCAGTTGGAATATCGAAAAAGCA